GAGACTGAGAAGTATGGATTCAATAATGTCTACTGCATTGAAACAGATGAGGGACAGAAAACTGTTTGAGAGGGAAAATTATTCGGGATTTTTGTCATGACAGGAGTCCACAGCAAAGGCCGTATAGTGGAGTGGACCTGGGGGGAGAGATTGTAAAACAATGAAAGAATTTTTCTTTCTTTTTTTTTTTAAAAAAACAAACAAACATCTAGCAAAAAAATAGGATGAAGATGTGAAAGAGTGCTGCAATGGTGATTAATTTTATAAAACATAATAAATAGGAATGACTGTAGGAAACACAATGTGAACGAATAATGTGAAACACAATGTATATAAGCTTTGTAAGCAAACAAATATAAAATAAACATTTTTTAAAAACCCAAAACAACGCCGTCAGTGCTGCATACAAACATGCAAGTGTTCATTGACTTCAACACCTGTTAAACATACACTATGTGCCAGCCATTATTTCAGATACTTGAGATATATCAGGGAGAAAAAGACAAATTTCTACCATCAACTTTCTTCATCTGATAAAAGGGATGTAGAGAAAAACTGAAAATGCTCCTTCTGTTGAGAGGATAACGACAAGATGGCTCACGCCTCATCTGTACACACAGTAAGAGCGGGCCACTTCTGCTCTCAACCAGCACAGTAAAGAGACAAAGACAAACTAAAGATGGAAAAACAGTCCATAGTCACAAATCACCTAACTGTGCGTGGGGAAAACGAAGGAAGCTACAGGGTCAAAGAACACAGAACAAACAGTTCTATTCCTATATGCTAGCGAGAAACAATTTCAAAATGAAATTTCTTAAATCCTTTCTAATTTAAAAACTAAGGTGGATTTCCAGTGCTGCGTAATATTCCACTATGTGATTACACCACAGCTTCTCCATCCATTCATTTGTTGATGGGCACTTGGGTTGTGTCCATCTCGTTGCTACTGTGAACAAAGCCGCAATAAACATGGGTGTGCATGTATATGTTTGGGTGACAGTTCTGGTTTCTTTAAAGTATATTCCCAGTAGTGCAACTGCTGGTCAAATGGTATTTCTAGTTCCAAGAACTAATAAAATATTATACAAAATGGGTGACCCTGGAGGACATTATGTTAGTGAAATAACTCAGTCACAAAAGGACAAATAATGCATAATGCATTGTTATAAAATAGGACTGACACGGGGGTTCAGGGGAAACTAAGAAAAGAGGGGATAAATAATGAACACTGCATTGAAACAGAT